TGGTCGATGCGGTAGTGCCTGCTGCGGCGGTTCCGGTAGAAAATTGAGGTGAGGTCTGGAAAATTGCGGTTGAGGTCAATATTCTGGGCATTGGCCCGTCCATTGGTCCAACCGTTCAACAAGTGACCCTGAAACATTTAGGTTCAAACAACTAGGAGCATTAGAAGGTGTCGCAGAGTGTGACATCATTGAGGGTGATGATGTGTAGACGTTAGTGGGAGCAGTGTGTATATGAAGAAAATATTGAGCAAATTACATGAATATTAGTCAGAAGAACAGGAAGGACCCTGTTAGACTATCACCATTAATTCTGTTGTTAACAATTAGACAAGACCATTTATCCGTCATGAGAAAGAGAAGCACAGAAGCAAGAGGAAGCCATTATTCATACATCTTAGAGATGAGCAGGACATGCATTTAATTCATATCCATGCAAACTGTTTATCATATATATGAACATATATGATTATGTTGCCATATACAAACAGTTTGATGTTTCAATTTACTCTTTAAATGAGTATAATTAAAAAATAACTTTAACACATGCAATGTACACAATATGAATACATTCAAAGTAGTTTGGCCCACATAATACATCCAAAATGTGATCATATTAATGAAGGTTCAATATGCTGCACACTTTCAATGTTTCCACTCTGTGTATATTGTGAATGGTTAAGACTCATGCATAAATCAATGTGTCTCTGAGTAAAGCTGTGCGTAGTATGTCTCTGAAGATATCAGGCTAGCAGTGCATCTTAGATTGCACATTGCATACATGGACAGCTGATCAGGATTATCAGCCCAAATGATTGTGACACACATTTGAGTCAGTGTACATACTGTATGCCTACTATAAGCATGCAGAGCTTGTGAGAGGCTCAGTGACACGGCCTGAAGCATTGGTGAATAAATACACAACACTTTGACCAAGAGGCTGTGTCAGTGTTGATATAACGAGTAATAAAAAGCTCAAGAGATGCCAACGTAGTCCCACTGTCTCAGGCTTCTCACACTGTCTCAGGCTTTGGACAATAACAGGGGACTAGTGTTGAATCCTCTGGTTAGTGGAAAACAGGGTGATTGGTGGAAGTCGGAGGCTTGAGTACTCTACGTCCAATCTTAATACCAAAATTAAGAAACTTACCAATTTTGTAGCCTAATCTTAACAATGAATCTTTACAGTCTTAGAGGAGAACAAAGTCTGTTCTTTATCCTTCAGCAGACTTTGGTACTTTTTCTAGATACTTTTGAATTGACGGCCTCTATGTTCAGAAAAAGAACAACCAACATTGTCATAGTGCTGCTCAATGGTGTCCCATTTCACAACCCACCAACAACGCTGTGAAAAGCCTCTACATCAGCAGAGTTCCTCATTCCTCCACCTCCACGCTTCCAGCCGGATGGACTGAACAGACAATGAGACAGAGAGCGGATAATGGCAGTTTGTCTTTGTCTTTCTTTTTCTGCTCACAATATTTACTTCCTGGTTGGTGAGCTCCGTGTCTCTGTTATCCTCTACCTCTGAGGCAGCCAGCTCATAGCCATCTGGATTCATTGAGGCCAGAATATGGATCCGGGTGGTGTTGATGAGGGTCTGAATGCGTTGGTTCCCCAGAATGTACTCTGAACACAGGTACTGGGCCAGGTAGAGCAGCAGCTGGCGGCCCAGCACCTCGTTGCCGTGCATGTTGGCTACCAGCTTGACCTCTGGCTCCACTACATTTCACAGACAGAAGCACAGACAGAAAGATGACGGTTAAAGCTGGACTCATTGATATGTCCACAGTGGGGCAGCAGAACGAGCTGTCAACACAATACTGACATATAATCCCTTTTGAAAGTTGCCTATTTGCACATCCAGCAGACACATAGCTACATTAGCATTCATTTGGAGTTGTGTTTGTGTCTATCTGATGAATGGACATCCAATAGTCACTCTCCTTTTAGCTCTGTTTTGGTCTCCATCAACGCCTGAGGGAAGAACCTGTCTCTAAAGCAGCTAAATGCTCCGCTATGTTCGCCAGTTAACTATCTTTGTCTGTATTTGGTGTTGGGCAGGTAGTGTACAGCATCTATCAGAGCTTTTCAGCTGAATTGCTGCAACAGGAAACAAGATCGACGAGAGCCGTAAGATGGAATCAAAAAAACCACAACAATGAGCTGAACAATGCTAAAACTGCTACCAAGTTCATATTTCAACTCTTTTTATCGATTTGCATATATTGTACGAACGTTATCACACAATTCATTTACACTGCTCTTCCGTACTCACATAGTTCGTGACGTCCTGGGTTGTTGCTGAACTCAATAACCAGCAGATCTCTGCCTTCTGTGCTGTGCCCAATACTGTAGACATGAGAGATTTGGGAGCACTTGGCTGCTGTTCTCTTCAGCAAGCTGTACATCTGGGCGTTGGAGGTGTATGTGAACTGGATGATGGTGCTGGGTTCTTCAGGTGAAAGGCCGGACCTTTCTACCTCCTGTCTGGCTGGAGAAGGGATGCCAGGATTTGGAAAAGGAGAGAGGGATGCTTTGTTTGTTTCACAGGATGCAATTGGTCCAAACGGTACAACACAACAGCGTGACCTTTACCTTTCAGCCCTGCCAGTGGGTCAAAGCAGCCCTCCTCGTTGCTGGCAAAGAAACGGTCACAATCTAGGAAGTAGGGCCAGGCCATTTCGATGGCTTCAAAGGCATGGGCACAGTCCCTCCTCAATGTATCGCATGTGCTGCGGCAGGGTTTGATCATCTTGTCGTCCTGGCAGGGCGAGGCGAGAACCGAGCAGCCGAGGAGGCGTATCTCAGGGGAGCACTCCCCGTTGAGCAGGCCATGGATGACGCTCAGCAAGAGGTACTCTGCCCCCGACTCTGCGTCCAGGCGACTCCGGTGGCCAAGTATGTTGGGAAATATGGTTCTGGAGCGGCAGCATTTTAACACAAGGTGTTACACGTGGTGCCGACAATGAGCTTGTAAAGACATCAGAGGAATGGCAGCAATTGCTTAAAATGTATGTAAGGTTAGTTTTTAGCTGCATGGCACAATTTGGCACACCACCCACCTAGAGTACTCCATATCATTACAATAGCCCAGGTTCAGGTCTGTACAGGTCGCTGTGGGACAGAGAAGGCAAAGAAAGCTGGTAACTATTTGTGAAAATGATGTGTGAGTAAAGCAAAGCTTTTCTTTAATTGTTGTTGGTTTCAAAATAGCCAAAATCGTTTTAGGGTTTGTGCTGAAAGATCTGTATCTGTCACACCTTTAAGAGTAAAGAAACACTAAACGCTAGACGCAGCAGGTGTTTCGAAATGGAACAATGCAATTTAGGAGTTTTGAAGCTCCATAAATCCTCCCCCACAGGTTGAGCTCAAGTGCTGCAGCTGTGTTTGTTCCTCTCAGAGAGGAGAGGAGGCCTGTTGCATCTTGCAGGCACTTTGTATTTTAAACACTTTGGTTTTCCAGCCCTGAAGGTCCAGTCATGGCCTGGAAATTCATCTTAGGGCACATAGTCCAATGTCTAAGTGGCTGGACCCTGACATGTTATTCTACACATCTCTGATCACTTTCTGCACCTGCCACACAACATCTGATCTTTACATTAGATTCATCTTAAGGCCCGATACTTGAAATGAATTAGCCACCTACGTTTATCTCCCAACACGTTGTTGCTGCATCTTCCTGTGAGAGAACACAAAGCCACACAACACACGTTAGGAAGCGTGGAAGTCACGAATAAAACGCTAGGAGGCGACATCTTCAAAAGCAAGAGACAAGCCAAGGAAGGCTTCTGCTTTATCACTGTTTATGACGAGGCTGATGGCTAAACGACACTATTCAGGTCTACTACAGACTTTGACTGTGTGAGGAATGAAGTTGCGAAATACTGGAGGATATAGACTTTAAGAAGTGTTAATATGTAAATCATGGTGTTGTGAAGTTGGGTTTGCGTCTCATCTCTATCAGCTATGTTGTTATTGGTTAGGAGCATCGGAAGTCGTGTTAAATCGCCCATCTTCCTCACACAAACAGGCCTATAGGTTATTTTTACGCTCATCGTGCTTTGGCGTCGTATAGTAACATTTATCTCTATGAAACACTGTTTTTTAGCTGAAGTCACTTTACCTAAATCCTCGTCTCCGGGATGACAAGTCTGCTGCGGGGCGCACCAACAACTTCTCCACAAGGACAGAAACAGCAGCAAAAGTCCTAAATGCATGTTGGAGTGCAGCAACGGCGGTGTGTGATGTGGCAGTGTGTGTTTGAGGCGAAGACTTCTCCGTTCTCTGTTGCTGGATGACAATTACCACGAACAGCACGGAAACCTCCTTCCTTTGTCTGTGCGGAGGAGCATCCCTGACCCGAGAAAAGTGCGGCGCGCCAGGATTACGGTTTACTGCGCGTTACGAGCGAGCTCCGATCATATTTCACTGCACAGAGCTGTGTGTGCGCGCGTGTGTGTGTGTGTGTGTGTTAGGGGGGGGCATGAGGAAGAAACGTGGCTTGTGGGGGTGGGAGTTTGGAAAGTTCATGCCTGTTTGTTTGACATAATGCAGCTACTAAGCCTTTTCACCCATTTAATGCCAGAATAGATCTCTGCTCCACAAGTCTGTGAAACCTCGTTAAACCTCATGTCCTCGCAGCTTTATCCTTGTAATTCTCATCTACCATTAGGACTGTTAAAGGAATGTATCAGTGGTTTCCCGAAGTAGGGGTCAGGACCCACAGGGTCCAAAGATAGATGTGAGGGGTCAGCAGATGATTAAAGGATAACAAAAATGCCAACACATGTCTTTAGGCTTTTGTTTGTTTTGTTGCTTCTTCTTTTGACGCCAGGCAGCCTTCAGATGACTCCCTCTCTCTTTGTTTGAATTGGTCACTGCTCATGCATTAAGGGTTAAAAGCCTAAAAAGTTGCAAAGAACTGCAACAACACTGTCATTTGAATTACCTTCAGCATCGTATTGTATTTAGTGGACTCGTGTGTCTGTGGCAGTGGACTTTATTCTTCAATCTGTGCAGTGATATAACATCCTCACACCTATTTTTATACTTTACATGTTACACAAGTTCCTTATTAACAACAACTTTAATAACTTCAACAGTCATCAGAATGAACATTTCTTCCAAGTTCTTTCACCGAAACACGGAGACCACTTCCTGACTAATTTAGGTTTCTTCAACCACACATTTGCATTGATGATAATGAACACAGTGTATACAGGGTTTCATGTGGTGTGTTCTCGGCAACGCCTAAGTAGCAGTCGGACTGCCAGGCCCTGTAGTAACAGCATTCTGCAGAGGCTGAAGCGGCCTTTGGCACACATCAGAGGCCAGCGTGCTGTATACATCCTGCATACATGTCCTTGAGCAAGGCACTGACTCCCTTCCATCTGGAGGGCTGCTGCTTTTCAGAGAGCCGGACTTCTGCAGGAGGGATGCAGGTGTTGAATCATTGAAATACTTGCACGTCAAGCTCAGGTGATTCTGGCAATGCAGTTCTCGTCTGTGGTGTCCAGCGTGCTGGTCGCGCCGTAGACAGCCAGCATGTAGTGATTATTTCTTACAACCCGGCTGATGATACTAACTAGGACCTTCCTGTACTGCTGCCGCAGCAGACAGTAGACAAACGGGTCGCTGGAGGCTTTGGCATAGGACAGACATTTGGCGGTCATGCCCCAGTAGCGGGGGATGTGGACAGAGGGCAACAACTCAACCAACCTGCAGGAGGAACACAAGGAAAAAAAGAGCATTCTGTTTAGTCAGGGCCTGTTCAAAAGAAAATGATAAACTCTCATGAATATTCGATAAAATTACATAATTATGTGATCTTATTTCATAATTGTGACTTATTTTCTCATATGAAAAAAAAGCATTTGGGTTGAATCTGAGAGGTGTTGGGTGAACTTCACTTGAGGCTGTAAGGCACTCCTTTATATTATACAATAACAAAGTATAATAACACAGATTCAACAAAATGAATGTTAAACTTCACTAAGGTCAAATTTCAGGGCCCCAGAATGTAAATGACCTGTTCCAGGATAAGTCAGATGTTTTACCAGTAAAACTGAGAGGACGATCAATATAAATTGTATCACAGACACATTGGAATCACAGGAATGTAGAACTTCTCCAAGCCATTATTGTAAAGGCATCAGATGAGTCATGGAAGTTAACCAACCGACATAAAGCCTGTGAACAGTGGAGCTGGTGGAACATGTTCTCTGTAGGGCTGTGCCACATCCAATCAATGTCAGCAAACATCCCAGAATGATTTAATGCAAAAAAAATGAAGGTATCAAACACGTATTACTACTTTACAGTTAAATATTTAACCTTTATTCCAACATGAAAAAAGCAGAAAATAACACTTCGATAAACACGTCAGGACATCTTATTATAGTCTCAGTATAATATAATAATATATATATATATATATCATATCATAGTATTCACTATAATATAAAACACTAACACACACACACACACACATACATATATATATATAAATATGTATTTATAACTATACATCATGTCTCAGCAGGTGCTTCATGTCCCTCACTCCCTAACTGTCCGTGCTGGATCTGTCCCCGTTGTTTTAAAAAGCTAAATAAGTTATCAGCATGACGTCATCCAGCTAGCCAAACCTGTCTGGTGTTCGAATCAAATATAAAGCTTGAGTTTAATCTGTGATCCGTCTTGATGAACAATGACAGGAAGTCTGTTCTCGTGGGTCCTCGCTCCTCAGAGCTACATTAGAGCTTTGGGACGGCCGTCAATATGGCGGCGCAGAAACAACTTCCGGTTCAAGCGAGGATCGAGGAGCGAGGAAACGACAATTAAGAGACTTGAGAAGCACCCTGAGGCGTGCACACGCGGAGAGGACGTGCACACGCGGAGAGGACGTGCAGGAAAAGCATATATTTACCGCAGATATCATATTTTACACATATTACTGGGTGATTCCATATTTCAAAAACACAAATATTGACAGTTTGTATAGTTTATTATTATTATTATTATTAATTGTATTGTATTTGTTGTGGCTCAAGGTGGGGCGGTGCCCTAGCGCCTCTACTGACCAGCCGCCACTGTGAAAAAAAGACACAGAGCAAGCTTTACCTTGTTATAACATAGGGTGAAAAGCAGAGGATGAAGGTGCCGATGAAGATGCAAATTTTGTTAGTCGCGCGCTGCCTCCTCTTCTTCTGCTCAGCTAGACACCTCTCCTTCACACTGACAGACAGACAGACAGAGAGAATAATTTATGTCTGACATAACTGCTAACAATAAAAAAAACAAAATGTGTTCTGTGCAGCATTCTAAAATAAGTCAAGTCCTCATTGAAACAAGTCAAACAGGTAACAACATCTCAGACTGTTGAGCTTTTCAAAAATGAATGATTTAAAGGGCTCACTCAAAGTTCTCATACTTTACCTGAGCGGGATATCAACCAGCAGGAGCAGAGCCTGCACTGTAATGACGTCTATCCTCTTGCAGTGGGACCTGGCCACTTTCAAAACCTTCAGGTAGGCGAAGCACAGGACGAGGAGGCAGAGTGCAAAGCTGCCGCAGTGGAACAGCGCCGTGAAGGTCGCATAGGCGGTCAGCTGCGACCTCTTCTCCGCGTCCAGGTGAACGGTGCACGAGGCGTAAGTGTGGCTGTAACCTCCCCATTCCATGAGCAGCTGGGTCAGAGCGAAGGTGAGAGAGTGCATCCAGGAGTACGCCACGATCAGAAAAGCGTCTCTGTAGCGCATCTTGCTGGAGTAACTGAGGGGGAACACCACCGCGACCCACCTGTCCAGGCTCAGCGCGGCCATGCTCAACATCGCGTTAGCGGTGAGAAAAGTCTCAGCAAAACTGATAGCTTGGCATAACAGGTCCCCGAAGGGCTTTGTGCTCTCGGCCACTCCGACAAAAGTGGCTGGCATGTTGATGATGGTGAGGAGGATGTTGGAAAAGGAGAGGTTTAGGATGAAGATGCCTGGCACGTGAGATCTTAACTCTGCGCTCTGGGTGAAGCATAGCAGCACTGACAGGTTTGTCAACAACGAGACAACGGCTATCACCACAATGGACACTTCCAGTAGGAACTCCGGTATGCTCATCTCTCGAGGCTCGGCGTTAGCAGCAGTCGTGGTGGTCAGGATTCCGCGGGGAGTCCGCCATGCTCTCTGCTCGTGCTCCCCACCGGCTGGTCACTATCCAGACGCACGTGCCAGAAGCGCGCTTGTGAGCACCAGAATCGCGGAGAGAGCTGTCCGGTGCTGAAATGTGCCCAAACACACCTCCCTGGTGTTAGTTAGTCAGTGGCACGAGCTACTTTTAAATACAGTATATGTTGCTTTGGACATCAAGCGATTAAATTAGCGTCGATGATCTTTTAATTGCTCCAGTAATCACTCGTCCTTCAGTCAAATGCTGTGGAAATGATGACTTTAAGTTACCAAGTGCTCAGTGTTTACTCTCGTTCATGCGCACTATTCCGGTGCCTCCTCTCGCGCTGGCAATGCCGTGCGCCCTGCACGTGCAGTCGGTAGCTGACTCATGTGATGCTTGAATAATATTCATGCAAGCAGGAGTTAATGTGCAGAGATTGAGATGCATGGACTGTGCACACAAATTCCACATGCCCCCCCCCCCAACAAAAAAAGTGTGTTGCACTGCTTCATATTTAAAAAATATGGATTTGTGGTGTTTGTGTGTGTGTGTGTGTGTGTGTGTGTGTGTGTGTGTGTGT